AAAAAAAAAAAGTTCCGCGCGGACGGAGTCACCGGTAACCGCTAGTTTATTATGTAAGAAACGGGACTAAATCATTTATATCAGATATTCAAAAACGTAAACTTCGAAAACATTTTAATATATCGCAGTTGAAAAATAGTATGTCGATAAGTGTTATCTCTTTTACGAATGATTCCTTATTTTTTCCCAAAATTTATATTCCGATTTTACCCCAGTTTTTCCTTTTTTTTTATCTGTCAAAACGCTTGTGACAAAAATAAATATGATAACATAAATTACGCCTAATCATCAATACTGAGAATGTACATTAGATAATTTTTTGTATATTTTAAAAAACCCAGATAGCAAACATATTTTTTCGCGTTATTCTCTACATTATCACTGCCTACACTTATGTACAAAGATATAAAATACATTTTTTTAAATAACATTATAGTGGAAACCCCCAGTACATAATTCATGGGACCTTGTCATGGCTCTATTCGATTATTAATCATTTGGCCAATTGAGTCCGTAGATACAAAAACACCCCGTATACATAAGGAAATAGCAACAATGTAATTAATCTCGCCACATTGGACAAGATAGTTCCAAATGTGTTGAAAGATAAGCATGTCCTCTAAATTTATAGTATCCTAACCTTTGACCTCTCCATTACAGTTAGGTCTTTAGTGCTTGTTTGAAATGAATGGTTACGCAAATTTTTACTAAATTATTTAAGTAATGTCACGTCTCTTATATTTTTAAGTCCAAAGCTAATCTCCTAATCCGGTGCATTAATGTTTTTATTAAGGTTGACAGATTGAGTACTACTGTACTTGTTTTTTTTTATATACAATATCATGACGTCATAAACTGCGGTATAAAGAGACATACAATTGCTTAAAAATGGATAGGCAGAGATAATGGATTGGTCACGACTCCTTCACATACATACTCTTTAGTTTTGGTAACACTTAATATTCTCCTTTCTAAGTAACTATTTCACCAATTTATTTTAAATCTAATCTTGTAACTATGGGATTCTGAGGCCAAAAATATTCTTTTAGAAAAAAATGTTATCTGTTTTGTCAAATGACAGGGATAACGATATATTTTATACAGATATTTTGATCTCAGAAGGCAACAATAAATCGTAGATTTAAATGACCGTTATGTATTTCATATTATATAAATCTAGACGTTTTCGCGATGCTTATTTACTTTTCACCCTGGTGCATAGAATTTTTAGTTTGGCTCTATCATTACGGTTAAATGCACTTATATTTGACCAATAATTTTTAACAAGATACGAGTACATGTTACATATACGAGTAAATCAAATAAATTGTATGAAAGAGATCTGCAATGAATAACAATTGATTCTGTATCTAAACCTATGTATGTAAGCAAATATATCGATTATATACAAAATGAAAAAATATAATACATCTGTTATATGTAACACATAGGTTAATTTATCAATAGCAACAATTCAAAATAAACACATAAATAAATTACACAAACAATAAAGTCAATAATTGTTTATATGACTCATATTAATTTAAACATAGGGTTGGTTACTTTAAGTTGATAAAAACATTCTTTACTGCCTGTACAACTTTTTGGAATCTTTAGAATTTTATAAAAAGATTTTTTTTTACGTTTTATAAGCTAGCGCTTGACCACGATCCCACCTGGTGAAGTGGAGATTTGGTCGAAAGATGGTATGCTTAGTAAGTGCCTATTCACTCTACTAAGCTATTCTATATTTCTCTATTCTTCTTTGTTTTTTTGTAGAAATTAAGAGAAATGGATAATATGAAAAAAGATTACCTTGAGATAGGAAAGTTTGGAATAAACTACAGGTAGGCCGACGTAGGACATCACGAAACAGCAACAGGAAGCTGGAAAATACGACACAATTTCTATAAATTTACTTTCTGTTTACTTTAATATTATACTTTTAGTTCAACGTAATATGTGAGAAATTAAAAGCTTAAAAATTGACAATTTTTGTTCTGAACCTTTTAAAAAAATTAACAATATAAGAGGCTCTAAATTTTCTAACGCTTTAAATCTTGTTTCAATCGTATGAAGCTCTATGTTATGTTCGACAAAAAATATGCTCTACTCTCTTCCCCGGTCTGTTTGGATGGACCCTTATTTGGTAAATATCTGTACGTGTCAATCTTTTCATTTTCCAATGATTTAAATGGACACGACAATTTAGCTAAAGCGATAGTACTTATAATAATCATTTGAATTAAATTTCTGTGTTTAATTTTTGTTTAACATATGTTCTGGAATAAAGTTCATTGCACTGTTAAAAAATATTACACATCTTGTTTGAGTCAGAATCAAGAGGAATATAAAATTTTTATAACCCTACTTATAGGGCAAATGATTGATTGACTCTTTTGTTATATTTTTCCGTAAAATTCAAATAATTACTCAGCAAAAGTAAATGTTATTATGCATTGTGTCTACTGACGCGTAAGTAAATGTTTCCTTGTAATTCTTAAATATGACATGTTGAGTCATTTTTTAATATTTTAAATAAAACAATTTATCTATTATGATATTAAAATGAAATCAAACAAAGAATTTCCCAAAACTTCTTTCTTCTTCCCAAAACGTCTTTAGATAAGAGGAGAATAATGTGGTTGATAATAAAATTAGGCTAGCTTCCACATTCAAAGTAGTTTATTATTCGCTTATGGGGATCCTTAGTGGCCAATCAGTATGATTTCTTGAGCACAATCCATTTAAGGGAAACCATTAAACGTACATATTTGCAGCAGTTAATGACTCAACATAAAAGCTCAGCATTTCTTTAGCTTTTTACCTAATTTTTAAATAAGTTTTAGCTTCTAAAGTAATTAACTAGTCTAATGGTTAGATATCCATAAAAAATTATGCCTTTCATTGGTATTAAAATAATTTAGTTCCAATTAACAAGATATTTTACAAACCTGTAAAAAGTAATTTGAGGTCATAAATTATCTTCAAAGAACATAAAAATATTGTAAAATTTTATTTTTTCTGTTTGAGGTAATAAAAATACGATTTTTTTTTAAATTTGATTGTACGTTTTAATGTATAATATATTAAATGTTTTATTAAAAAAAAATAAAGGTGTGTTTTTAATTTTAGTCAAAAACTCATTCGTCATCCTTGATAAATACTTAGAATGGCTTTACTAGTATTTTATAATTAGAATAGAAATAATAAGTAGCCTATGTGTTCTTTCAGACTATGTTCTACATCTGTGCTAAATTTCAGCAAGATCCGTCGAGCCTTTTCGGAGATACCTTCAAACAAACATCTATCGATCCATCTAAATATTCGCATTTATAACATTAGTAAGTAAGATTAGAACAATCTAGGATTTTAATTATATACAATAGAAAAATAGTACGTGTGTTATTGTTTTCAGTTATTTAGAGGTAAGCAATTATAGGTTAGTTCCATCATAACTTTATACCTGAACGCACGTTTTTTATTATTAAAAAAGACAAGTGACAAACTGTTAACTAATTGATAATGATTATCTCCGTGCTAATATTTTATTATTATAGCATTAGAAAAACAAAAAAACATTTTTAACGGTAGTTAACAAGACGTTATATTGACCTAGTAATTTCAATACAGTGTAACTGGACGTTAACCAGTTCCATTTTAATTTCTAAACACTACTTCGCTGTGGAAAACTACGCACTGTTTGCAAGGGTACGCATTATTGGAATGTAATGTGAAACGTGTTGATATGACATTTATTTACATTATGGTTTAAGCGGGATTATGTTTTTCATTAAAATATTCCAGTTTCTTTAATTAGGTGAGTTTATGTTTAATATTTTAAACAAGCTGTCGCCCGCGACTCCGTCCGCGCGGAATTAAATAAAACATAATAGCCTATGTGATCCTTCAGACTACGTTCTATATGTATACCAAATTTCATCTATATCCATCCATCTAAACATTCGCATTTATAATATTAGTATGAATAAGTGCATATTATTAGTATGGTTAAATGTATAATATATTTAATGCAATAGCTTTTAAATATTTTTTTAATGTGGTCCAAAGTCAAAGTCATTCAAAGTACAATGGTGGTCTTTCTGCGAGATGACATCAAAAATTAAGTGTTTTAATGCATTACTATAGCAACCGACGTAAATAATAAGCAAAAAGTAGCGACAGATAGTACTCATTGCACAAAGGTTCGAAAATCTCTAGAATGGTGACCCTGTACACACCTCCTGGAAGCTTAGGTAGTCATCTCGTAAGATGGGTCAATGATCTGATCATGATCTGGACCTATCTTGGTGACGGTTTTAAGTCTACGTCCGACAGATTGCGACAAAGACTGTAGAACACAAGGGAAATTTTTATTTTTATTTGGTTCGTTTAATTCCCGAAAAATGTCAAAAACAAAATATTGCAAAATTGTTAAAACCCGATTTTTTTATTATGCACCTATACTAATAAATTAACTTAGATTTACAAATTGAACGATCAAAATACGGGCGTTTATGTAACATTTTTGAAAAATAATCTTACATAAAACTTTTAGACAGTACAATTTTAATCTTTTAATATTAATTTAATTTTCTTATAATTTAATATTTAATTTATTTACTTATAAAAATAGCAGTAGCTCGATGAAAATCTATTTTATATGGATAAAACATTTTTTAATAAATTTTAATGTAAAAAAAAACATCATCAGATTCGTTAAATACTGACATCTAAATCTGAATCAGAAACCTAAACCTACGATAAAAACCAAATAAAAATCCAACGATGTGTTTAAAAATAATTAATAAATAAATAAAAAAGGAAATAGAAAATTCCACTCGTTATTAAAATCTATACATATTTCACGGAAATTTGTGAAATATCTAAACCTATCTATACAATGCTTAACTCTACAATAATTTCATCTGTGTGCCCGTTGGGGAAATCGCGGTAAGGTTTTATATAGTCGGGGGTAAATCGCTGGAAGTTAGTCTTAACCGAACTGCCGCAGTGAACATTGACGGCACTGGTACACCGTACGTAATCAGTTATTAGCAACACATATATTTACATATAAGATTTCAATAATTTTATTGTGCGTTTACAAAAGCTAATATAACGTAGTTAACTAGCGTTTGTTTTGGTTTGATAACAGAGTGAATTGTCCGACTTTTAAAAAAGATTAATGTAAAAACTAAATAATAATTAGAACTGATAAGCTAAAAATACTATTTTTGGCAATTAAATAATATTACTTATAAACAATGTGGCCGTGTTATCTGTGTCTTCTCACATAATTTTAAACCGTAAAATTATAAAACAGAGTTTTAATATAATTTCATAAGTATAAGTAACTTCTCTTTAATTACATATTGATAAATAAATTAACTATTAAGCTATATAAATTGCGTATTATTAATTGTGGTTAAAGTTAGTGTGTACTTACTGTGACACACATATCTAATGACAGTACCAACGTTGCAATAATAAAGTGCGCAAACTTCTAAACTTGATTTATGGCCTAACTCGGATATCGCCAATCTAAATCTAGATCATTAGGAGTACTTTATTTACCAGTAAATTTTCCAATGTAATGATCCTAAATGTGATGAATACTTTGGTTTTATTTATTCAAGAGTGTTTTTTGTTTAAATGTGTTGTACATATACGATATATAACTTTAAACATTTATTGGTTTTTGCTAACATAATTTTCTTAACAAATTGGACTCGAACCAAAATTAAATCAATTCGATTAAATGAAGGTCACAAAGGCTAATCGTTTATATTCCGTTTTTTGCGAATTTTTGAATGTAACTGTTTAATTTTTATACGATTATTCGTTTCTTGTTGCGTAAACAAAATTGTAGATTTGAAGAGTGTGGCCCCTTGATTCGTATTTATGAGAGTTTTAGGAGTAAAATTACTTTTATAATAAAAACTCATCATTTAATGTTTTAATAAAACGACTGTTAAAGATTTTCCTTATTGTCAAACTTTGTTATAAGAATTTACAAAAATCATTATAGGCCGCGGAATCCGTTATTTTTTTTTATTTCAACCTATAGAATATGTAAAGCAGGTTTTTACAAATTCTTGCATGACGAGTTCCGACTTAAATCATTCAAAATTTAAGTATAAAACAATACAATCAAAATTTACAAAAACTATACAACATTTTAGTAGTTCACCTTTTTGACTTTCCCTCGTAGCGCATTGACCGTAAGGTAGCGGGCAATTAGTTAAGTAAATGAATGGCTACTTTGTGGCTGGCTCGGGTTCGAAACCAAGACATTTTTAATAAAAATTTCCATATAACGATTTTAAAACAAAAGCCGCTTTCTAAAATATGTCTATCTAAATGTTGGTAAATTCTTAAATTAATTCGATACAAAAAAAGGTATAGTGCGCATTATTTAAGCTTGTATTTAACGCATAACAAAAATGTAAAGTACATTTTTTAACTCACTTTAGATCACCGGTGTAAAATGTTTTTAATGCTGAGGTGGGGGATGTAACGCGTTATTAATTGTTAAACAACTTTGCACTCTTACACAGTCTTATTTTTCACTTTTTCCGGTCTATACAACTGTATTACACTACTAAAACTTAACATTTCTTAAATCCTACCGACTGCGCCATGTAAAGTGTTTTTAATGCACGGGAGGTGTTGAATCAAACAGCTGTAACGTATTAATTGATTTATTAATTTCTACCTACTTTAGACAATATTTTTACTAACCGAAATCTTTACTTATGTATATCTGACAACCGGAAAATCGTGCTCTAATTAGTCAAATATCAACATTTTAGTAACAGTTTGCATTTCTTACATTAGCTTACCATATTTGCCGTACATAATTATCAAAAAAAGTAAAAGGATCTATGCAAGATATCCAAATTCAAACAGCCACAGTTTCTTTTAAGCCGACCTTCCTTTATCCTATTTAGTTCAATCGTAGAAAAATAACTTACAATTTCCATGCCAAAGCAAAACACGAAATTAAGTTTAATTGCCTAATCTTTTAATAAGCATTCAAAATATTTTAATAAGACAATTATTGAATACCACAAAATTACAATGGAACTGTTAATATGACTAACAATTACGTTTTCGTGTTCTAGATTCAAAAATGCTGACGAAACTTTTCTACCTGGGTCTGGTGGCCTACGCGTCCGCAGCTGTAAAGTTGCAGGAAGTGTTTTCATGGAATGCAATGGATTGGAACTACCCGAATGAATTTCTGAGACAAGAAGCTATCATATCGGGCAATTTGATTAGAGAAAACGCCCTTCCAGTTGGCATTGAACGTTGGAGGAATAAGCTATTCGTCAGTGTACCGCGTTGGCGACCTGGTATGTATCTACAGGCTGTTCTAATTTGCATTATTTTATTCATGGTTTTAGGAAGTCGAGTTTTTTACCTAAGTTTTTTTAAATGATTCAATTTTATTTTATTTACTTTATTGCACATTTAAAGCAATTAATTTCGTAATTTTAAAAAAAAAGTTTATTATTAATACATACCTCAGATTTATCTTTTATCTCATTACAGAAATCAGGTTTCTTAGCTTTATCAAGGTTTTAAATTTTGGAAATTTATTTTTTTATTGAAATAATTGTTTTTTTTTATTCAAAAGACAGACCTTTATATATTATCTTCTCGAGGCAATAAATGTAGTTGAACGACATAAATGATAAAAGAAAATTAACAAACTATGTTAACGCACAAATATGGTTTTTAACAAGAATGTTAATCCTGTATACTTTTTACCCGAGTGACTATAAAGGGTGATGTTTTTCGCGCGTTTGTATGTTTTTTTCTGTTTGGGTTTGTATGTATGACAATTCCATTACAAGGTCTCTTAGTCTAAACGACTCAACTTATTCTGCTAAGAGAATTCTATAGGTATTCTTTTCGTGGATGTCAAAATCAGGGTTTTATTGGATTTTTAATTTAAAAAATAATATTATAAATTTTTATTACGATAGTACGCATCTTTTAATCAATAAATCTTAATAAAATTATTAAATTAAGTAATATTAAAAGAATTTAATATAGGAAGCTATTAAAATATTTAGCAAAATATTGGCGTTTAATCACTTTAAAATTAATTAATATGTTTTAAATAACAAATTTAAAATATTTCACGCTAATTGGTTATTAAAAATTATTTCATATTCATAATAAATCATAATTCAAATAAATATTTAAAGAAACAAATAAAATTTGTCGTGAACTACGTCACAGGAACAGGTTTCATATTTCATCATCATCATCATCATCATCATCATCATCAGCTCACTATATGTCCCCACCGAGGGGCTCGGAGCCTACCCTAAGTTAATGGTGATTTGGCCATAGTCAACCACGCTGGCCAATTGCGGGTTAGTTGACTTCACACATGTCTTTTTGAATTCCTTCTCAGATATGTGCAGGTTGCATCGCGATGTTTTCCTTCACTGTAAGAACGTCGGATAAATATACATATGTAAATCGGAAATAGAAAAACACATTGGTACATGGTGGGATTCGAACCCGGGACCTGCAGATTGCAAGTCAAGTGCTTGAGTACTGAGCCACCGACGCCCACTAATTTTTAATGAGTTTAATATTTAAAAATAATTTATTATTTTTTAAATACAAAATATCATTAACGAAACGTAAACATAGACGAAATCAAGTGAAAGAATAAATAATTTAAGTATTCATAACATCTTATTAACGGTAATTGTTTGATTATCAATATTGATAGCCTTGTAAAGATTCTTTACCAAGATCAAGATACTATCAAAACACTAAAACAGTAATTTATTTCCAAAATGTTACACAATCCATATCAGGTATTCTGTCAGCTTTATCACTTTCATTTCGAAAAAAATGGTGCCTCTACAAAGAGAAAGTATCAAGAGCAAACCATAAGTTCAAATTGATATGTGACTTCCGATTACAAAATATATTTCGATTACTTGAAATTTCGTGGCCGCGAGTTCCCTTTAAAAACCATAATATCAATTATTCTACTGCTAAACGCTCACGCATTTGTTTGGTGTCTGATGCTAATTATATAATTATACTATTACTAGCTGTTGACTGCGACTCTGTCCGCGCTGTATTAAAAAATAGCACTCTATGTGTTCCTCCACACTACGTTCTACATCTGTACCAAATTTCAGCGAGATCCGTTCAGCTGTTCCGGAGATACCTACAAACAAACATACATCCATCCAAACATTCGCATTTATAATATTAGTAAGGTTTTAGTTTTACTTGCGACAACGAATCGTGTTATTTAAACGAGATCTTATTAATTTAAATATTCATTTCAGGATGTGAACATTAAAATTAAATATAAAAGCTTTTTCTTAATATTCATGAAATTCTAATCTACATCTATATCTTCTTTGTTATAGATAAAGAACTATAGTGCTTCTGTACCGAACAGAGTCAATAAACAAAACATTTTATTTAGTCTTCAAATACAGGGTGTTTCCAAAGAAGGGCAAAATGTTACCTACTGCATACACATCTAAAAACATCATTCGTCTCGATCTGTATAAAACAAACAATATATTTTTAAATAGCTTCGGCAGTGGCAACGGTCTGATAATTCATAGCATAGTTAAAAAGACCATAATATCAGAGTAACTCGCAAAGTTTAACTAGTAATCGTAACTTTACGTCACTGTATTTACTTCATTAAGAAAAACTGACTGTAACAAACATTATTGTGCCACACCCTGTTTGTGTATAAATCAAACAAGTTGCAGGATACTGACTTTCCGATGCACGTTATTAGTGCATAAGTAAAAACATTTTATATCACGCTTGATGAAACATCAGTAAGTTGTTTTAGAAATCACGATATTGAAATTAAAACGGCAACGCCCTGTCTTCAGTCAATATCTGGTTACTTACACAACTGTTTAACATAACAATGTTACGGCGATGAGGTGTGATGAATTACGATTTAGATTTTTTGGTCTCTACAGCAACAGAGTTCCAACATTGTTATATTTTTCATGTCTTATTTTAACTTTAATTTAATTGAAAAAAAAATCTTTTAAATTATTAAAAGATAAATTATTAAAAAATTCAAAAGTTTACTTTCACTTTTCAAATATAATAATATATCTTTGAAATCTCACGTTTTTTGAAAATCTTACTTAAAAGATATTAGATAAACATTGATAGTTTCAAAATTAAAAACGATTTAAAAGCGGAAGCAGGCGGTGCAGACTGTTTGCGGTCCATTTCCAAAATTCGTATTTAAAGTACAATTAAAATTCAAATTATATCGTAATAAAGATAAGCAATTCCTTTTAATTTCGGAATCGTTAATCATTTCAACACGTTGCACGTCTAGTTTTTATTATAAGACCTAACATTGCGGATATTTTGTTAAAGAAGTAACTCAAAGTAAACTTAATTGCAACAGAGTTAATACTACCAATAAAGCAATAAAATATTTAACATTTTAACAACCTCATGCTAACAATATTACAACGTGTCGCAGTAACATTATTATTGCCGCGAAATAAATGTTACAAATGAAACTAAAAATCCAAATCATAATCACATGAAAAAGATACTTTTTGTCTAGTTCTAGTTTAGATCTAGTTTTCATAGCATTATACTAATACTATGAAAACTAGATCTTAATAGACCTCATTCACCTTTTGTTCTACTGTATCATAAATAAATTAGCGCCTAAATATCATGTTTTGTATATGATTTTTTTTATATCATTAGCCAAACGAGCGAGCGGCCACCAGAAATCGCTGAAATAGCCATTACCTACCTTTAATCGACGGAGGAGAGGATGCACTGAAAGAAAATATTTTTCCTTCCCATGCATCCTCTCATCCGGAAAGTCCACTTCCACTTCCCATCCTTTCCTTATAAGAAAAAGGGTGGGAAGGGAAAGAGGACTAAACTAGGAATAGTTGAAAACAGCCTATCAAGGTTGCAGGAATTGAATTTATCGTGCAATTCCTATTCCTAATAACAACTACGAGAAATTAAGAAGTATAAATATGCATATATAAATTTTTATTAACCACTAGCACTTACTTGTTTCAGGTATTCCTGCCACTTTGAATTACATACCTCTGGACGCGCCCCATGAATCTTCCCCTAAACTAACACCATACCCAAGTTTCGAAGAGAACGAAGTAGGCAATTGTGACACCGGACTCACCACAGTGTACCGAGTTAAGGCCGACAGATGCGACAGACTCTGGGTATTAGACGTCGGAACTTATGGATATGGTAAGAATACATTTCTTTCTGTTTTTTATTTCCATGAATTTGGAATCATTATCAGTATAATATTAAAATATTGTTCCGTTCTTTATTTCAGATCCTAATGTGACCAACGTGTGTCCTTACACACTGAATGTCTACGATCTCCATACGAATACCCGCATTCGGAAATACGTTTTCCGTCCAGAGGACATCGTCGCTTCCACTTTCATTGCTAACATCGCCCTCGACGAAGGAGCAACTTGTGAAGACACCTTCGCATATTTCTCCGACGAGTTAGGATATGGTCTCATTGTTTATTCCTGGGAACAAAACAAATCTTGGAGATTCAGTCACAGCTACTTTATGCCTGACCCATTGGTTGGTGATTTCAACATCGCAGGTCTTAACTTCCAATGGGGCGCTGAGGGTATCTTCGGAATAACCACATCACCTCCTGGGGCAGACGGTTTTAGAACCCTATACTTCAGCCCGTTGTCAAGTCATACAGAATTTGCTGTCTCTACTCGTATTCTTAGAGATGAATCTATGGTAAAAGGAGCCTCTTTCCATGATTTCAAAGTGGTAGGAAACAGAGGACCAAATGGACATACCACTTCCAAGGTAATGGACGATTCGGGTGTACAATTATATAACTTGATCGATCAAAACGCTATCGGTTGCTGGAGCTCATCGTTACCATTGAAACCAGAAAATACTGCCATTGCAGACAAAGATGATGTTGGCCTTGTCTTCCCCTGCGATGTTAAAATAGACGACGATAAAAACGTTTGGGTGCTTTCGGACCGTATGCCGGTCTTTTTGGAATCTGAATTAGACTACAGTGATATTAATTTCAAAATCTTTACCTCCCCTCTTTACAACATGATCGAAGGTACTGTGTGTGAACCACCTTCGTACACCCTTCCTACACCTGCACCCACACAAGCACTAACTCCATCCATTCCACCAACTCAGTTATATGGCCTTTCAGTGAATATTCCCTCGCAGCGACCATACTACCCTTCGGTTTCCTTAAGTGGCCAACGTTTAAGATCCTTTAGCCGAACAATACCCGATTCATTTGATGAAAGACGTTTTGCTGATTTACCTCGTGGTACGTATCCTCTCGCTGTTTCTACCAGGGCAGGCACAAATGATCCATTTACCTTTGACAAATCGCCGTGGTGGATCAGATCCACTGTTGGAGGACGCGTTAACGGTCGGCAATATTGAGATAAATAACTTTAAATAGCATAATTGTATGGTAGTTTATTGAAAAATATAATTTACACATACATTTTACCTTTTACATATAGTACATAATGCTATGAAAAAAGTACTAAAAGTACTTTATTAGGAATTGTATACTATTATGATGTAGTGTTGAATTTTTTTTATTGAAAAATTTGCTTTTTTCATTAATTTTCCTGTGGTCGATACTTTGCTTGTATGTATGAGGATGTGTAAACCGTTGTGTGTGTATTAGTATGATTATGTGTGTGTGTCAGCGTGTACGATGTGGAAAACCCAAAATGTGAATATGTTTATTAGCAAATGTGATTGTGTGAGTGGTTTCTTCAACAAATAGAAATGTAATTTAGTGTGTTGTTTAAAAGCGAGAATACAATTATGTTGTATAAATAATTATAATGGTTGATAATTCTTTTTTTTAAGAATGAATATGTTTCATTGGTAATAAGGAATTAAAAATATATATGTCACCGGCAAATAGTGTACCCGTTCTGTTTATAATTTACAGCTGCAAGTCGTAAAGCCTCAGTCGTCTCAGTAAATATATATCGAACGAATTCATTCACAAAGAGCCGTGGTATTACAATTTGTTAAGATCATATTTGGTAGTTGCACTGTTTTCAATGTTATCTGCCAAGTCGTGATTCGTTTTTGACTGCACTGAACATTCCGTGCAATAAATATAAATGCTACTGAACTCTTTACAATGTATCTAAATATAATCGTAATATAACTCGTTACATTGTGAACGGATTCTTTTCATTTTCAACGTGCCGAGTCTTTACTATTTGGTAGAGCAAATTAAAAACGGAAGGAGTATTTTTTTATATCATAAGGTGGCAAACGAGCGAGCCGCCACCTGAAATCGCTGAAATAGCGAAGTGACCGTTGCCCATAGACATACGCAACTGCATATGCGTTGCCTACCTTTAATCGACGGAGGAGAGGATGCACAGAGAGAAAATATTTACAATAAAATTTAAAAAATATATAGACTATACAGTTTGCTGGTGATATAAAAATTGTAGTTTGTAAATGCTTTAATATGCCTCTCTATCACGCCTTCTCGTAACTTAAACAACATCCATCTACTTATAAGCACTAATTATTTGTTAATTTTGTTTTTTTTCTTTTCCAATAAAATTGTTCAAACAATGTGATCTTTTTATTTAAACAATTTAAATAGAAAACTTAGTTTCTTGTAAGCAAAATTATATTAATATTATAGAACTAATGTAAAGACGTATAGATATTAGTATACCAAAGCATAAGGAATAACAAAGAAAATCTAAAACGAAAACATATTGACTCAACCAACCGTGAAATCGACTGCCGTCACACTTTTGTAATAACATACTTTGTCTCTCTTTTTTTTTTAAATAATGTGAGGGAAGACAAATATTATGTTCCATACGAGTGTTACGATAGCACCAAAGAGAAACATATATATTGATAGATATAATTAAAATTGCCATGGAATTTAATAGAAATAGAATACGTAATAAAGACCGTATGTACAACCAAATTAATGTAACTGAAATTACTATTATAGACAGAAAAAACATCAATAAATTATTACACTTATATCACATGTAATTGTGGGTGTCAGTTTCTCAGCAGTGGAAATCTACACTAATGTAATCAAATCGTAGCATACCGCACGAACAATTTTGTTCATTAAAGTAAACATAATTATGTTGAAATGTAAACCTCGAATCTGTCAATTCATTGTGAAGTCATAAATCAACATCAATACGAAGTGCAATTGAACACGAAACTTTGTCCTTCGTTTAGATTGAAAGCTTAATTAGGTAATCAGAGACATAACAAATTCCATACATGGTAGGCGTATTTATCTTTGACTTTTATTTATTTTTTGAAAATTTTAAGATAAAATTAATGATATTTTACTTCTTAATATCTTACTAATATTATAAATGGCAATGTTTGGATGGATGTTTGTTGTATAAGATATCTCCGGAACGAATCAACGAATCTTAATAAAATTTAGCATAGATGTAGAGCATATTCTGGAAGAACTCTCCGGCGATAGCTAGTTGTAAAATAATGGTAGCTATTATTATAGTTATGTGATATAATTTGTAGTTTACTAGTTTTATGAAATATTTTGTCTATGATTTAAGGTTTTTTTTTATATCATAAGGTGGTGAACGAGCGAGCGGCCGAAGCGAAGCGAACGGAGCGAAGTGACCGTTGCCCATAGACATACGCAGTTGCATATGCGTTGCCTTTAATCGACACAGGAGAGGATGCAGAGAAAGAAAATATTTTCCCTTTCCATGCATCCTCATATCCGGAAAGTACACTTCCACTTCCACTTCCCATCCTTTTCTTATAAGAAAATGAGTGGCATACGCACACTCATCAGACGCAACGCGGAATTGCTTCCACTTCACGCCTGTCTGCTGTGTGGTCGTGGTATTTCACCGGATGAGGCGGGCCAATTCGTGCGAATAGAAATATTACAGCGGGCTCTACCACTGTTAAATTAATGTTTAACTGGATTATGCTATACATATAGTTCGACAAGCGCAACTAACCCAATGACACGCCATTATCGTAGTTTGTTTACAACTCTTATCTGATGTTTCGTCAGTGGAAACGGACAGTAATTTTCATTTTTAAATTATTGTTTTAGCACGATGGCATATTTTAAATGCGGTTTATTTTAACAACAAAGAATAGGTTATTTGAAACATTGTATCGTAATAAATTGTTGTGGTTTCTCTATTACACTAGATTTTATTCATATTATTTTATTTACAAAGCATAGTATAATAGTAAGGTTTTTTTTTATAGTAGACTCCAAGGAGGTTCTCAATTTGATTATTGTTTTTTATGCAAACCGTACACTAATAAAACTGAGTTTTATGATTCGACTTACGTGATTCTTATTGTTGTCATTTAGTAGCTTTTTTGAAATTAAAAAAAAAAACTATTCAGTAGTTTTTGAGTTACCACTAACTTTCATTTATGAGTGTATTGCATGTTATGAAAAGATAAAGGCCACATACGCTAATACCTCGATGAGATTGTTTGCGTTTATAACAAAGCGGCATTCCGAAGCAAATAACACTTGAGCGTGATTTTCTTATCGGTATTATCTTAATACCTTAAGTTATATAAATTGTCGTTATAATTTTCTCGCGGAAGGCTACCTTGGTGGAATGATCGTAAAGCGACGGTAATTACGTCTCGAAGTATTCACGGATTTTAATACATCCAGTACTCAAATGTTCTGCGTCGAAACGTTGATGACTCCGAGTAAATACTGTATTGTGAATTGCGGTGACAGATAGACGTTATTTTTGTTACCTTGATGTAAATGTATTCAGTATAAATATTATAATTTTTAAAATGTGTGACAAAACAGATGTTGATACTAAAACGGATTACAATCCATTTGAACATAGGAAAGTTGACAAACCAAGTTCGTAAGTGATTTTGAATTAATTTAATAAATGCATGCTTAATGCATTCGTTTTTTTTTTACTTTAAATACAATTTTATATTAGAAATTTTAGATTGTTTGAAACAAAACATTCAACAAGAATTAAGATTTAAAAGTATTCGTGAATAGCTATTTTATGTAAACGTTATTTAATTTTACTTCTCACTAATATAATGCGAATGTTTAGATGGATGGATGGATGTTTGTTTGAAGGTATCACCGAAACGGCTTAATCGCGCCAAAATTTATCACATGTATTATATAGTCTGGAAGAACACATATGCTACTTATTAAGTTTTTTAAAAATTTCGTGCGGAGGGAGTCGCGGGCGGCAGCCTGTACATTATAATAGTGTTACCATATGTACTACATAATTGTCTTTAAACAAATAGAACACATATGTTTTATATGTGATTCTAACACGTCGATAAATTTACTCTAATGAAATAAAAACAGGTATTAAGTAATTACTTTTTACAGCTATAAATGTGTGGCGATAAGCAAATAATTTAGGCAACATATCACTAGAAGAATTGTTCAAAATTACACTGGATTTAATCTCTGAAATCCTTATCATTTATGGTTATACTATAAAGATAGAGATGGCATACCACCTGAAAAGCCATTTTATAATAAGAAATAAACACTAACGGAGATTTTTCTTGTTGCGCCTTAGGTTTAGGGGTTAACAGTACTAACAACATCTGTTGGACAAATAAGCCGGCTCGACCGGTGCAATACCATGACCACACAGAACACAAGCGTGATGTGTAAGCAATTCTACGTTTCGTCTGATGAATGTGTGTGTTGGTGGCCTAATTTTAATCCCCTTTCCTTCCCAATATTTTCTTATAAAGAAAGAATTTGACGGAGGTGGAGACGCTTAAGAAGGGGAAATCTTTCCGTCTGTCCCTTCCTTCGTCGATTAAAGGCAACACATATGCAATAGCGGATGTCTGTGAGCTGCGGTCTCTTCGCAATGTCGGAGTATTCAGGTTGTCGCCTGCTCGCTTACCTGCTAATAATATAAGGCATACTAAATGGAAATGTCCTTGATAACTTGTTTTCCTTTCTCAAAGCGCGTGCTATTAAAATGCATATATTTAATTGAACTAAACTTCGGTTAGTGTTGATGTTTTTGATAATCAATTAACATGAGATGAATTTCTGATTCTTTTTTTTTCTTACTCTGTTGGTAATGAACATTTGGCAATACTTTTGTACTTTCCTGGTTAACCTTTACTTAACCTATGCATCAAACATATCCGTCGTAATTACTTAGTTCCGAATATTGTAATTCTTTTATTATTTAAAAATACAACGTAATAATTTTCTCATGATTGTAAAAAGTACAAATTGTATTTAAATAAAGATTACTAAGTTATTAAACCAAGGTTTAAAGTTTAAACAAACAAAGGAATAAAATAAGTGTTTAATATTATCCCGAAATTGTGTTAAAATTTTGATTTAACATCCAAACTGCTAAGTTATCCAATATTTATTAAACAAAATATGACCTTCACGGGTACACTGTAATTATTGCAAGCAAGAATGTTCAAAACAGGTATTTTCATTCGTTCGCATTCTTGAGCTTAAATAATAAGCAGTAATGATACAAAATAAAATGTTTTAAGAGAACAATTGGGTAATTTCAAGATAAACACGACCTTCATCATTGAAGAACTCGAAGGAGAGTAAACAGTTTGTCCCACTCTCTTAGGCATAAGCGAGTCGTTATAGGGGCCTACCCTAAGTTAGGGATGACTCGGCCATAGTCAACCACCCTGGCACAGTGTGGGTTGGTTGACTTCACACATATCTTTGAATTTCTTCACAAATATGTTCAGGTTGCATCATGTTTTCCTTCATCAAAAAAAAATCGGATAAATGTACATATGAAAATCAAAAAAACAATGGTACATGGTGGGATTCAAACCCAGGACCTGCAGATGATAAGTGCTTAAACCCCTGAGCCACCGACGCTTTTAAGAATATCGAAAGATAATGATAGGGATGACAATTTATTTTATGCAGGGATTTTAGTCTCAGAAACCAGCGATAACTGTGGCAAAAGTGGTCGTATTTAAAGATGATGACAAGCATATAAGCTAGCGAGAGATGCATTATGTTTGTTTCTTACAACTTTACGTGTTGAATGAGGCCAAGGTTTGCCATTAGTTGCCATGACTAAAACAAAAAATCTTTCGCAACGCATATTGATGTGAACCTGTCTTTGGAAACTGTTTCAAAATGCTTTAATGCAGTGATTTAGCATTGTTTACTATGTAAATATAATACTAAAGCGGAGCGACGGAGTTGCTAGGCGATAGGTAGTAATAAAACATGTAAAAATAAAAGTTGGCAAGTTTAATTTTATTGAGCACTGTTTTGACCTATTAGAACCTGTATGAATACTAGCTGAAGCCCGCGACTCCGTCCGCGCGGGATCAAAAAATAAATAGCCGATTCTCAAACCTTCATATTCAATGTGTAGAAAATTTCAATAAAAATCGGTCAAGCAGTTTCAAAGTAGTATGGTAAATAACATTATGACAGAATTTTACATATTTGATATTGTTTAATTATTGTTTCAGAGATGTAAGATCAACTACAAATCTGATAAAAGCCTCTTTAGGTTCAGGACTTTTAGCAGGTCCTTTGGCATTTGCAAATGCGGGATGGGGTGTCGGTATAGTCGGTACTATAATTATTGGCATCATCTGTGGACACTGTGTTCACATACTGGCAAGTAACATTTAAAACAATTGTTATTATTAAATTTTGCATCAGGAAAATTGTGTCAGAAAATATTATTCTTTGCCTTGAATTATTACTATAACTTGTTTTTTAAAAAAAAACAATATCTCTTGATACTAGCGTTATTATCCTTGTATAAATATCTTATAAAATCTACAATATTTTATATTATAAATATTGTATATATATCTAGCTCCTAGATTATAATTAATAATATAATCTATGTAATTGGTTTTCCTGACGATAAAATAGTATAAAACATATTTTCACCCCTTTCATGTTTTTATTAAATATAGAACTAATAAATTTTCCAGGTAAAAACTTCACGAGGATGTTGTAAATTGGAAAGAAAGCCTTTACTTGGCTACGCAGAAACGGCGAAAAGTGTATTTGTAAATGGACCGAAAAAAGTTAGACCTTATGCTAAATTCGCAAAGTAAGTATTATAAATATTTAATAATCATCATCAACAGCTCAATATATGTCTCCCCTAAGACGCTTGGAGCCCACCCTAACTTAGGGTTGATTAGGCCATAGTCAACTAAGCTAGCACTGAGGTTAACTTCACACATATCGATGGTTGGATCACGATGTTTTCTTTTACTGTTTATAATACAGTTATTAAGTTATGTTTTTTATTTATATTTAATGACGTCTTAAAAGACATAACGATACCAGCCAGCAATTAAATAGCTAGTTGTTTACGTATTAATAACGATACAACCATAAACTTAACATTTACAAACGAAACTTTTTTACTAAGCTTACAAGAATGTAAAATGCGTTCGTAATCAAATGTAAAAGGATATATCATTAAAAATGTAAATGTAATTCTGATACTTAAGATAAAAGAGGGGAATCCCAATAACATTTTGTGGAGTTACGATAGCCGAGTGGGTTGGCAGCTTCCGAATTTGTTTTGCAAAATTAATCTTACTAATATTATAAATGAGAAAGTTTAGATGGATGGATGTTTGTTATAAGGTATCTCTAGGAAAAAATTAAGGGTTTTGGATGAAATTTGGTTAAGTTTTTTTTATTTGTGCGCGGACGGAGTCGCGGTTGACGGCTAGTATCAAATAAAAATGATAATGTTAAATATCATTCATGTTTAGAAAATTAAAAAATTTCCAAAAAACCTTATAAGGATATGATATGATGCAAAATTTACTAATTGTTTTGTGTTTGTGCGTGAGGAATAACGTTTTTGCCTCGCGGTGATTTGAATATTCAAAGGACCTAAATTAACTTAATTATCTTGTTTCAGAATATTTAGTGAATTCGCTTTGGTCGCCACTTATGTTGGTGTATGTTGTATTTACAGCGTACTCATATCAGATTCTATTAAACAAGTAAGTCACTAGACCTAATTAAATATTATAATTAATTAATTAATCAATGACAATATAATATGAGTAATCAATTCAAATCAATGATTTAATTATAATTAATTAATAAATCACTTAATTAATTGATTTACCAATTAATAAAAATTAATTAATCAACCGATTTTAATTATTTTTTTCTTCTGTTTCAGCTGATTGATAGATATGTTCCCTCTGTAATTTTACCAGTAGAATATTACTGTCTGATTATTTTAGGTCCTATTTGCATACTCTGTCAAGTAAAATATCTGAAATGGCTCGCAGTATTCTCATTTTTGGCTAACATATTCCTTGTTTTAACATATTTGATCTGCTTTTATTACATCTTCGGCAGCGACATCACTTTAGCCGATAAAAGGATAGCTGGTGATCCTTGGAGATTTCCGGCTTTTGTGTCGTAAGTTTATATAATTAGATATTATTGCGATCTTGTAGCGTAATGTTGCTAACTAGGCAAATATTTGCACAAATCGCAAGTATTTTCTTTCAAATCCGAAGCCAATTTGTATATCTTTTCTATTTGAACCAACTGCCTATTTAATTACAGTTGGTATAAAAAAGAAAATACTCGTAATATCGAATGAGGGACGAGAATATATAGAATCTGGCCACGAATCTGCTACCTATTAACTTCTTTCAAATTTACTATCTTTGGCTTTCCGAGACCAAAATCTCTGTATAAAACATATAGTCATTCCTGTCATTACCGTTGACAAAACAGAAATAACAACACGTTTAATTGAGGATCTTGGTCTCAGAACACTACGGTATGTCACTGAAATCCGATGGCCTCTTGAACATTTGTCGCCTTCTACTATAAAATACTTTTTACATTTTAGTACCGTAATATTCGCAATGGAGGGAATCGGCGTAGTAATGCCAGTCGAGAATGCAATGAAGAAACCACAACATTTCCTCGGCTGTCCGAGCGTGCTCGTTGTGGCCATGACCGCTATTGTATTTTTCTATAGCACTCTTGGCTTGTTCGGATACTTCCGATATGGAGATGTCCTTAGAGGATCGATTACTTTGAATCTGCCATTGGATGACTGGTAAGTACTCACTAAAGCCAAATAAATTATAAACAAGATCCTTTTATACAATTATCCTCCACCATCGAAAGTGTATCCTTAACATTTATATACTGGATTAAAAATAGGATAGTATAAGTTACATAAATATTGCAACAATTAAAAAATAAAACACGAAGCTTAACTACTCCGTAGTTTTTCTACTAGTAGTCTACTAGCTACTCTATAGTTTTTAGGCTTATCAAGAACAAAGTTAAAACTAACAATTTATTTTTAGGCCTGCAATTTGTGCCAAAGGTTTCATAGCTTTATCTATTTTCTTCACCTATCCGCTGCAGTTTTATGTTGTGTTTGATATTTTCAAAAAACACACCGATCGGTACATCAAAGATGATTACCGCAACGTCACCGAGGTATTTGCCAGAATTGTGGGTGTTGGATTCTGTGGTAAGACATTTTATTACAACTAAATAATCTGGTTTATAAACACGACTAAACACTCACGTATATTCTCACTCACTCACGAATATACGTGAGTGTTTAGCCGTGTTTATATATCAGTTTAGTATAATGTCTCATGAAAGTTTGAATCAGCAATCAATAACATTTATGCTATATGCCATAACACTCGATTTGATGATGATTGACAATGAATTTCACCCAATATGAAAAAAAAAACATTAAAATTTCCTAGCTATAGACATATTTAGAGAGATTTGCGGACGTTTTTAATTTGCTATATGATAAACAATGAAATTTGTTTGATAAAAACAAATGAACATTTTGCGAATTTCAAATGAGATAAAATCCGCGTATGTTTCCTTGTTGATTAATTACTACAAATCAAATGAAATGAAAAGTTTTAAAATTAATACATTATATGTAAGTGTTAAATTAAAATTAATTGCTAACATACATACAAATTTTTATTGGTACAGGTTTTTCGAATTACGAGAATTATTTAATGAGTGTGAAATCGTTTATTAGATATCAATTATCAAAGTTAAGTTAAAGTTAAGTTAATGGTAAACATTAATCAATCGTTTTCTACGAGGAGAGACCGAGCAAAAATGTATTTTGCCTGCAAATTATTTTATAATAACAGTGTTATACTACATCGTACCCACTTTCAAATCATTTGAGAGTCGTCCTAAATGAAAGAAAAACGCTTTTAAAAATAAAGAATTTTTCAAATACGTATATTTCCTATGTAACGTCAATCACGTGTTTAAAGAGTTTTTTTTTACTTATTCAATTTGAATATCTTTTTTATTTGTGTTAAAATAAACCAGTTCTTAAAATTGCGATGTCTTATACTATTAATAGTATGTTATTTGCATGTTAATGATAATTACAAACTTTCCCTCTCAATCAAAAAATATAAAGTTTCATTTACCTTATGGTGGAACTCTATGACATAAAAATAAATGAAAAACGTTGAAAATCAATGAAAACTCATGATACAGTACTCAGTATAGACTGAAAGGTTTACAATTCAATAATACGACCTACTTATCCGGCCCGGTAAGCAAAAATGGAGCCGTGGAGTATCAATATATTTTCTGACAGAACTAACTATAACAACAGCGCTATATTCACCGGGCCAACGAGGTTGTCGAAGTATAGATAAAAAGGATTTCTTTTAAAGTTTAATAAAGGAACAAAGATGATCAAAAATAAATTGAAATAAGTACTTGTCGAGAGGGCTATGTATTCGTATGAGTTATTTTTTTAGTAAACTTTTTTTTTGTAAATCTCTTTTTGACCTTTAATTCAATCATAACCAATAAATATTGTATTGTATTGATAACATTTTCTTTTTTTTTTAGTTGGAATTGGCATTGCATTACCATTACTGGAACAGATTATAAATATCGTCGGCGCTTGCTTCTATTCAATACTCGGCCTCATAATTCCGGCTACTTTGGAAACTGTCTTCCGATGGGAGAGGCTCGGCAAATTTAAATGGGTCCTATGGAAGAATTTGATTATTATAATATTCGGCTTCGGCACATTAATATCTGGTTGTACAGTCACCGTACTTGATATAATTGAAATATTAAACAGAAAAACTGTATAGACTTAAGAAACGAATCTCGTAACATTTATGGTATGGCGAATAGGTAGCCATTAGATTAATATTAAATTTAAGGGCACTACACACGGCTAAGATACTATAATATTTTATCTTAAAATACAATATCGCTTGCCCTACAATTCTATGAACCATTACGCTCTTCGAAAATAATACCAACATAACATCTTAAGGCAAATATGAGCATTTCCGGTCCACTATCAAGTTCACTTTTATAATTACTACGCAAAATTTAATTTAAAAAATTCAGTGATACATGGATGGCATTTGTTGTGAAGATATTATAAAGGCATGAACGACTAACTTTTTTTTTAAATAACTGACTATTTTGTAAGCAATAATTTATTTTAAATGCAAAGTTAATAAAATTATAATGCATGAAAACTTTGTTTGATTACATAACTTAGAAAATAAGCTTATTTTAACATCGGTAATAACAACCATTGATTGCTATAAATTTTTTAAAAATAACATTGTTCGGTAATTAAAGAAATTGGTAAATAAATAATTAATACGTATAAAAGGAAGTCATGTTAGTTACACTATTTATAACTCAAGAACGGCTTTACCGATATGCTTGAAAATTGGTGAGGAGGTAGCTTAGAGCCAGGAGACGGACATAGGATACTATTAATTCATATTTTTTTTCGAATTTACGCCTTGAAGAGCTGCTTTTTATTTAACTTACTATAAATGCGAATGTTTAGATGCATGTAATGTGGATGGATGGATGGGTGTTTGAAGATATCTCTAGAACGGCTGAACGGATCTCGATTAAATTTGGCATGCGTATAGAACATAGTCTGAAAGAACACATAGGCTACACTAATGAAGTGTTTTTTTTATGTATGCACGCGGACGGGCGGGCTTGCGGAGACTCGCGGGCGACCGCTATTTATAAATAAAAATAGGCGACATTTCGAAACGGTCTGAGTTTCATAAAATGAATATAAAATATGTCATTATTTTAAATAACAAATATACCTACGCTATACCTTTTTGTTTTTCCTCAGTAATACGTTTGACGAGAAAACGTTTCCGATTCATTTACGAAATAGCTAATAAACTTACCACATAAAACCTCTTATCTTAACCGACACAATGCTTGAGTTACAATTTAATCAAACTATAATTTAAACAGAAATACACATAGGTATTAGTATAAATCTATATCACTATCCTTTTTTTTAAAAGAGAACGGGATAAATGGGGTTACCAACAACGGTTCCACCCATAACACCAGACGAAGTACAGATGCCTTTGAGAACTTGCTACTCCCGCTTCTTGATGGACCCTAAGTCGGTTCGGAAATACTGCCAAGAACAGACCATTCCACAGCGCAACAGTACGACAAAACATCAAGGTTAAGTACCTCGGCGGCAGGATTAGTTCCACACAATTCATCGCTTCACTTCCTTGGTAGATACAGTAAAACATGCAGAAGGAACCAACGTCCCTCAGCAAGCGCAATGTCGAGCCGATGACTAATATAAGAACTCGGTCGTTGACGATTCGAATCACTAACTCCGGACAATATTCTAAGAACTTATTAGTTCAAATGGTAATTATCTATATTTAATTCCATTGAAATAATTGATACTAATTCCTATTATTTTAAGTGGTAGGGATTATAACATTTGAAATTATTACATTTCAGTAAACACTTATTTTTAATCCTTATTGTTGAGATGTAAGTCAGACAATACTTGCGTTTATCTTGTTCTACCTTCAACAGTGACGATTAAAGCAATAAACATATTATTCTACGTAAATTAATATCATTCAGTGTGAAGTAAACTCGAGTACTACAACATTTTTTAGTATTTCAATGATTACATGTTCGTTAACGTGCATTTAGATATGAATTGTGTTTTGTGTATCTGTGATGAAATAAAATGGATATAAAAGATTCAATAGAACAGGATTACAATCCTTTTGAACATCGTAATGTGAAAAAACCAAATTCGTAAGTTGCCTCATAAATATGACTTAGGAAAAATCATAATTTTTTTAAAGTAAGCTTAGATTTAATTCAGTTCTCTTCGCTTTTAAACTCAATGGAGATAAACAGGAATAGTTAATTTAATAGTTCTTTAGACAAAAATTTACAGAATTTATATAAGTATTACATTCTTTATTATTTATTTTTAATATATATTATAATAGCTGAATTGATGTATGTATTTTATCCATATAAACGACACTTATACATGTCTTGCGTTCTACTTTACAATATCACCTTTAATCCACACTTTAAAACCATCGCTGCTACTTCAACACTTGATAATATGAGTTGATTTATTGTTATTTATTCTATTTACTTATGTATACCTATGTACATATCACACGTAAAATGTACAATCCATATCTTTTCTTTTAATTATTTATTTCTACAAGATTCATTCGAAAGAGAAGTCATGGATTCCTTAAATACAGGTTAACCTATTTAAGGAGAATGCAATATTGATACTAATTAAGTGTGTAATAAAGAATCCGTATTTTATTATATTTCAGTGATATAAGATCATTAGCAAATTTAATCAAAGCATCTCTAGGTTCAGGACTACTCGCAATTCCTCTGGCATTCGCTAACTCAGGATGGGTTTTAGGAATTGTCTGTACAGTCATTATAGCATTTATTTGTTGCCACTGCGTTTATATCTTTGTAAGTATTATAGTTAATTATATTTTTATAACTTTATGGGATAATAACTTAATAATTCGATTCTCCGGAAATACAATAAAAAATAAATAAATAGAAGTAATTAAATATCAAAAAGCCCTACTGAGTATGACTCGTCAAAATGTCTATCCATTAAGATTGTATGTGGTAACCTTGAAAATGATTTATTCATTGGTTATTCGGGATGTATACAAAAATTCAGAACTTATCTTTTATGTTTTTTTTACTGTGTATTAAATCCTATAATTTTTAGTACATTTTCTAATCATATACTTTCATACCTGTTGTTTGCAATGAATTAAAAAAAAACAATAATAAATATAGCCTATTGTACTTGGGGATAGTGAACTTTCCAATAGTAAAAGTATTTTTTAAATCGGTTCAGTACTTACGGACCCTATTCAAAGCAATCAAAGAAACAGACAATCACAGCTTTCCTCTTTATAATATTCGTACAGATTAAAACTAAACTTTTAATTTACAGGTGCAGACATCACACGGTTGTTGTCGTGTTGTGAGAAAGCCTTTATTGGGATATGCTGAGACTTGCCAAGTAGCTTTTCAAGTTGGTCCAAAACAAATACGACCGTACGCTAAATGGGCGAGGTAATACATTTGCAAAATTATTGTCAAGTTCTAAAAATACTGGTTTTGTATGTAGCGCGCTATAAGTTGAAAATTAATTTATGTATCAGAAACTGACAGCACTTAAGGAATTACGAATTATGGGTACCTAAATCTATTAAAAATATTAAAATTTGTATTTAAAGGCTTTAATATGGATGGATGCCTGGATATGCAAAAGTGATATGACATAATGAAAATTTGGTGTGTCTACATAAAAGTTTAAAATTAAACAAAATAAATAATAAATAAAATATTTCTTTCCTTATATTAATAAGATTTATATTTATTTCAGCATATTCGCGGAATTTTCATTGGTATTCACGTATGTCGGAGTATGTTGTATATTTACGGTACTTATTGCTGATTCTATTAAACAAGTAAGTGTTTTTTCGTATTAAAATACTGATTTAAATAAAATCGTATTTCAATTTGATAAAATTCATGAGACTTATTGGATTCTACATAATCTGAATATGACTCTTAAATATGTATAGATAAATAAAAATGAACGTAGAATATGTTTTTTTTTACAGATTTTCGACCGATACGTAACAACTGTAGATTTGCCAGTAGAATATTATTGTTTGATACTGCTCATCCCACTTTGTGTGATGTGCCAAATCAGATATTTAAAGTGGTTAGCGCCTTTCTCTTTGCTTGCCAACATTTTGCTAGTTGCAACGTTTGCTATTTGCTTATACTATATTTTCAAAGACGAAATAAATTTCGCTGATAAAAAACTAATTGGAGATGGCGCCAGATTTCCAATTTTTCTCTCGTAAGTAAACATTTTAAAATTACTAACAATTTCGTTATCTTGTTAGACTTATCTTTGAAGTAAATAAAAGCGCCTGATAAAATGTCATATTATGCTATTGCTATTGACATAAGCATTATAGTTATGATGTCACTATCCTAATGTTTTACATTATCTCAACTATTCAAAGTAAGGGATAAATTAAAATAAAAACTTAACAAAATATGACATTTGATAATAATATTATGGATGAAAATCAATAACAATATACCTTTCGCAATGATTATGTTAAATTTAATCAGCTACGTAGCCAAGTTTTCAGTCGTATTTGATTGTTCCATAGATTACTACCTGATTTTCATCCACCAACATCCAATTACTACTGCCTTAAAACTGATCTTCTTACTTATACCCTATAAATATATATTTGGTACGTATTAAATATTCATACATTTGTTTTGTAGAACAGTAATATTCGCGATGGAAGGCATGGGTGTGGTTATGCCCGTGGAGAACTCCATGAAGAAACCTCAACATTTCCTTGGCTGGGGAGGAGTTCTGGTCATTGCTATGACACTCATCATGTTACTGTATACAACACTAGGCCTGTTCGGATACTTTAGATATGGCGATGCTCTGAGAGGATCAATCACGTTGAATCTACCTATTGACGATTGGTAAATTAATAATTAATGAGATAATTTGTTGCTTTACCCAGTCCTGATATTTCTACATAGTTAGAGTGGTTTAAAAAACGTTATTTTATACAAGTTTATTACGATAAAATTATCGTAACATTTTAATCTCCTTCCCAAAACCAAAAGCATAGTAACCAAAAATAAGACAGCAAAAACCAGGCAGCTTAGTAAAAAAAATCAGCGAAATTTAAACGTGCAAATACTTCTATTTTTATTTGTACTTATTAGACGTATTATTTTTTTTGCAGGCCTGCAATTTGTGCGAAGGTATTCATAGCGTTGTCTATTCTATTCACATACCCACTGCACTTCTATGTTGTACTGGATATATTTACGAAGTACACCGAGCCGCATATTAAAGAAAACTATAAGTCAATCACGCAAATTGTTGCACGGATTGCTGTTGTATGTTTTTCAGGTATTTAAACTTTATTTTACGAGAACAATGACCTTAACCGCAGCGTTGGCTTTCAGGGCCAAATAAAATATGTATGTATAGGTCCAAAATCGTTCAAATCTTTATCTTTGAACAGATAGTAGAAAAGTTAACGTTCCTTTGTAATCTTATTTATAAATAGTAAATTGTTTCAGGTGGCATCGGTATAGCTTTACCAATGTTGGAGCAAATTATCAACATAGTTGGAGCATTTTTCTATTCCATTCTCGGTTTGATCATACCTGGCATCATTGAGACGGTCTTCCGTTGGGAGAATCTTGGCAAATACAACTGGATATTATGGAAGAATATTTTAATTATCCTATTCGGCTTAGGCAGTTTAATATCAGGATGCATTGTTACTGTATTTGACATAATTGAAAAACTTAATAGCAAAATTGAATAAAATAACTTTTGCGAATAATTTTATTTATTACATGTCAACGTTTGCCATAAGGAGGCTTAAAACTAATGAAACAGGATATCTACTACCTAAATAAAAAAGGTTTTAGGTTATATTTATTTGGTAGACAATTAAACAAAACTGCATCAAAAACCTCGAGTTTTCTGGTTACTTTCTTACCCTAATCGTTGGTTTTGAGATCAAAATCCCAGTACAAAACATATTGTTATCTCTTTTTTATTGTCAAAGATAATGAGGGAACGACAATATGTTTTTATACAGGGATTTTAGTTGAAAATTGCAATAATGTTGCTATAAAAATGTACTAGGCGTTTCTCAATTCTCAACTTTTTTGACAAAGAAAAAGCTATGTTTGTATACAAGTACTTTATCAGTACTATTCGCTAACTGTTATTCTTAAAATTAGATAAAGTTTAAAACTCCGTAATGATAATATCATTCCGGGATTTACTTGTACGGAATAATGGATAAAAGGTCCTTCGTGTAAAAACAAGGATTAAAAGGACTAATTTTATCCATTATCTCTTCAAAATTACATGATTTATTTGAAAACTCTTGTCGTATTCGTATCGACCACCCGGACAAAAGCAACTTGTCCTGTAACACGATGTTATCTGGAAATTTTTGATTAGTTGTTTGAAATATCGTTTGAAAAGCGCACGAAGGCTAACTAGCAAGTACTGTAATTAATTATTTGCACGACTTCCAACAAGGAATGTGAAAATAGGAACTGATGCCGATAACCATAGGTATTGGATTAGTACGAAAGGAAAATAATCTTACCAATATTATAAATGCGAATGTTTGAATGTATCGATGGATGAATGTTTGTTTGAAGGTATCTCCTGAAGGGCTGAACGGATCTCGATGAAATTTGGCATACATGTAGAACATAGTCTGGGAAACACATAGGCTAATTGTGTTTTTTTTTTATAATAATTCCGCGAGGACGGAATTTCGGGCGACCGCTAGTTAAAATAAACTACTGATTTTTTACTTTCTCTATATGAGACGCAATATTTTTTACACCTATTTAGTGTGTTCCTTAAATTGTATAGTATATTTTAGCTTATGAAATTTGAAAGAAAATCAAAACCACATAGTATGAAGTACTATTATGCGTCGAGAGTGAGTGTATTAGTCAAGCAAAAAATGTCTGTAAAATACTTGATTATAAATTTAAATACGTTTGATATTTAAATACAACATCCTGTATTTATTCAAACAATATTTTAAGTCATTATTTTGCACTATTCGAATATTTAACGTCGTAGTATCTACGTTAATCGATAATAATAAACAATTACACTAGAGATTCATTGAGCTTCGTTTACTAACACTGTTGAGTCATCCAGTATATCAATATCGACACAAATGCGTCTTTATTTAAAACACGTTACATACTTCTAGCTAGACCAATAAAACTTGACCCAGTGATCTAAAACAAATTGGTTGTAACAGTTCTTTCCCGCCAATAAAGCGTTAAAAAGCTATGTCAGATTTTCGTGTAAACTTACTTACATGCAATAATACAATTTTACACTATCATTGTAAAAATATATCTATCAATGTAGAAATATTATAAGTAGTTATCTAATCTTAAGGAAAACGATGATCCTTTTTTTTTGACTGAGTAGACGCTATTTGCCTTGAAGAGGCATTTACAGCTTCACCGGGTTTGAGGTGGCCGAGCGCAGATGGCGCTTAGCCTGAACCTCGTTTAAGAGTAACAAGACTCGAGGGCTCCCTCAGGAGCCTCGGCTCGGGCTGTTACTTCGTTATAGTTACCGGATTGTACGATGATCCTTATTAATATTATGTTCTTTAGTTAATAATTAATACCTAAATTATCTTATGGGTAGGTCTTACAACCATGACATCATTGCTATAATTTGTTACCAGGAAAATGTTTCGTTATTATAAAAATGTTAATGTACCTATATCTTAATTTTTCCTTATACTTAAAGATCAAAAGATTGTTTTTGCTTTATAGAGTTACCATTATAATATTACTAGCTTACGCCCGCAACTTTGTCTGTGCGAAAATAAAAAGCTTTTTAAGTAGCCTTTATTTTACTCCAGACAGTGTTCTATGTCTATGCAAAATTTCAGCGAGATCCATGCAGCCGTTCTGGAGATACCTTCTAACATACATCCATCCAAACATTCGCATTTATAATATAAGTATAATAATATTTAGGTTTATCGATCTTTTAGTATTTACTATTCATAGTAAACATTACAAGAGGTGTACTAATGATGCATGTTTAAATAAGAACGCTACATCGTTTTTTTGTTGGTAAAAAAACTTTCTACACCTGAAAAAGAGGAATATGTCAACATAGGATTTTTTGTTCTATAACTGATTTATTTTGTGGAAATTCCGCACTAGCAGTTTGTGACTTATTTTTGCGATCAAGGCGAGTCGAAGGGACTTCCCAGTTTTTTGCCTTTACTTTCGAATTTATAAATAGACAGAAATCAATTTTCCATATCCTTCAAAATGGCAGCTTATATCGTAGCAATAAACTATTATCGCAGTACTTAACAACTGGGAATTTGAGACGGGAAAATCAATTATAAATTCTTGGCGTTGTATAAGCAGATCACATCAACGTGAATCTTATAGTTTTAAACTAGGGATACTTGCCAAAACGTCGTCTGAGACGCCACTCGTGTTTAACGATACGTATTACGTATATATTTATATTGATTGCGACCGGTCGGAGCACATCGTCAGATTCACACACCTCGAAAGATGTCGTGCGCGCGCGCACCACTTGTAAATAAAACATAAATAAACATAAACAAATGAGAAAGTAGGACTAATTAGTGATAATCTAATAATACAAGCGAAAATGGCCAATAGCTACAATATGAAGGAGTTCAGTTCTACGTAAGTGTTTATTTCATTACTTATTTAATTCGTGACGGTAATTGGATATCATACGTTTAGACGGTGTAATAATCTATAGACGTTAATGTCAAAATAATTAACTTTTGTTTACATTTATAATCTATGTTTTAACTATAATAAATATATTTTGAAATGTCAAAAATAAACGAGTAATGAAAAGTTAAAAAGACGCAAGTGAATTGTAATCAGGATTACTAAATACAGACACAGTAAGTACACTTAAATAAGTACAATATATAGTACTTGATTTCTTTGTTAGTAAATAATAACTTCAAAGAATCACGATGCTTGTTATATACTATACATACTTGTTATATTTAGTTCGTGTAACATAAGTTTCAATATTTTCATTTATTTTTAAGTGATCTCAGATTCTTATTTATTGAGGTATTTAACCTTGTAATCAACAAACAACTAATTTTTTAAATGAACGTCAAACATTTTTTTAAAACACGACCTACACAAATGTGTTTATACACAACGAATTGTTATTTATATTTAAGGTTAGGTTTATTTTTATAATAAAACTACGCGTTCGTTATATTTAGTAAACAAAATTTGTACACAGTAATAAATTCATTTTAATATCTGTCTAGCTTTACCTTTCTAAAAAATAAATTATTTGAATTACTAATAATCTTACTAATATTATAAATGCGAATGTTTAGATGGATGGATGTTTGTTTGAATGTATCTCCAGAATGGCTGAACGGATCTCGATGAAATGTATACATATAGAATATAGTCAAGAACACATAAGCTATTAATCATGTTTTTTTTAATTCTGCGCGGACATATGCACCAATAATATGATGATTACATTTAAGTTGGATACATTTTTGTATAATTTTAAATGTTACTTCTTAATAATATTATAAATGCGATGGATGGATGGATGGATAAAGGTTTGTTTGAAAGTATCTCTGGAACGACGCAGCGGATCTTGATGAAATTTGGAACAGATGTAGATCATAGTCTGGATGAACACATAGGCTACTTATTATGTTTTCTTTATTTCGAGCGGATGGAATCACAGGCGACAGCTAGTAATATAATAAAAAATTCTGGCTCAAAATCCCTTGTACTATTACATATATATTGTACCTGTTCTAAAAAAGTAATTACGAGAACGTGATCTTATGGTTACACACATTGCGTTGCGCACAGTGCAAAGAAATCAAAAAACCGGTTAAAGCACACGAAAATCATAAAAAAATCTCTCGCAAATAATGCGGACGCCATAGCAACGACGTAATTTATAAAATTGTTACGTGAGAAGCGGATATGTCCGTCTGCAGCAAACCTGTGTAGCTATAAAAGAGCATCCACAAACAACAGGTTTCCACAGGGTACTTGATTGACATGACACGGTCACGCATTTTGTTATAAACAAAGACATTCAACATACAAGACGCACCAAACCGTAATTGACTACTTGTATATGCTAGGATATTGGCGCTATTGCTAATTACGATTTAAATGTTTTTAAGGAATTTTGCTTGCTCTATCATAGTTTTAGGACTTTAGATGTACAGTAAACAAAATGCAATTAGGAGGAATAGTAGTAGTATTAACCGTGGGTTTCTTAAACTGTAGTATATGTATAACATTTCGTAAACATTTCGTCATCCCTTTCATTATCATTGACAAAACAGAGATAACAGTATGTTTTAAAGGGGGTTTTGGTCTCAGAAACCCACGGTAAGTCGTTTTTATTGCTCATTATATTTAAAAGTTAATCGTGTAGGAAAATGATATTGACCTTGAAGCTTCATTGACATTATTTAAGTATCATATAAATAGGTCACTGATGCTGAAAAGATGTCGTTGAAAGACCGTTATTACTTATCTTTGATTCAAGGCTAAATTTAGCGACGACGACAGGCCATTATATTTTATCCTTACAAATAAAAAATGTGTAATATAATGCAGAATATCAATTTTTCTGCCCCGCGGGATAATAAACATACAGCTGAAAAGAATCTGTTCTGCATTGCAACGCTTATTATTGTAATTCATTGGATTTTTTTTTCTCTTTTTTATTGTGTTTATAAGTGTTGTATTTTTGAACGGATTAATTGTATTATTATTATTATTATCAATAATATCTAAGATAATTTGTATATAAGGAAAAT